CAAATAATCAATTTGAACCACGCTTTGATCGTAAAACGGCCAGAATGGGCCAGAACACACGGCAAAGTAATTTTGCTTCGTGATGACGCACCATCACACACTTCAAAACCGCATTTTTAATCGGTATGCAGATTAGCTATTAACCAGTTAAAAACTTGGATACCGGTTAAAAATTCGGGTTAGGCATTAACCGGTTATTTGTTGTCGGTAGCGATCAGTATTAACGGTTTCACCTGGTTTTAGAAGCTCCTAATACTCCACACCTTCCCGATCCCACCAAACGCAGAGCAGTGTCTTCTTTCCGAAGCGATTTGGCCTTGCAGTCGATGTGGATGGTTGACCTGGATCAACCCGTGATTTTGTGCGTTTGGGATTCTCAAAATAAACCCACTTCTCATCGCCAGTCACCATTCGATGCCAAAAAGACTTTCTTTCGTGCCGTTGAAGCAACATTTTACTGATGACTTTTCGGTTTTCCATTTGTCTTTCGTTCAGTTGATGTGGCACCCATTTTCCTTCCTTTAAAACGGTTCCCATTGCTTGTAAACGGTCGGAAATTGTTTGCTGAGCAACGTTGAATCTTTGTGCGAGTTGTTTCTGAGTTGGACACGCATCTTCACCCAATAATGCTTGTCATTGTCGGTCTTCCAACTTTTTTGGTTGACCTGGACGTTCTTTGTCTTTCACACCGAAATCCTCACTTTAAAGCGTTTAAACCAGCATCCACAAGTATCTTGAGATGGAGCATGTTCACCATAAGCATGCTCATCTGTGATGTTAACACCTTCAGCAAATCTGACATATGAAGTTTTGAAGCTTGTTGTTAATAGAACAAAATAGCACACATATCCCATCGCATGTATATCAGCATACGTGTGACCCCATCTATTGGAAACAAACCCGCATTAGTAACCGGTACACCTGGTATTTTCCTACTGAGGCGACTTTTCTGCTGTTTTTTATTTTATTTATTTTTTATTTTTTAAAAAATTCTCAAAACCTAAGAGGGAAGGTAGGGGAGAGTGGGGCAAATGGGAGAGATCAACCAAAGGACTTGTATGCCTGCATATAAGCCAAACCAATGGACACAGACACCGGGGTGAGGGCATGAGTGGGGGGTTGGGGGGCAATGGGGGGATAATGCCTTAATCAATAAAGAGAGAGAAAAAAATATTTATCTTTGATGGCAAGTACTCTAAAGACAGAGACTTTTTAATTGGGTTTATTGGGGGGATATTGGTTAATAAAATTATATAAGCTTCAATTGAAAAAAAAAATCCTCACCAGAGGATATTTTCCCATTGATTTTTAGAGAGAGGGGAAGAGAGAGGGAGAGACAGAGAGAAACTTTGATGTGAGAGACACACATTGATGGGTTGCCTCCTGCACGCGCCCCGACTAGGGCCTGGCCAGGGAGGAGCCTGCAACCGAGGTGCGTGCCCTTGACCGGAATTGAACCCGGGGCCCTTCGGTCCTCAGGCCGAGGCTCTGCCCACTGAGCCACACCGGCCGGGGCTCGCCCTCTGTTTCAAGCCTGTGGGAGGAAGCTGGCGACGGCCAGGATCTGATCTGTTAGTGCCGAGGCCGGCGGAGAGGGGGTGGGCGTGGCCCAGAGTCCGCGAGGCCGGGGCTGCCGTCAGCCTCCCTCAGAGCGTCTCCCAGCGGCTGTTTCTCCCGTAGCTACAACCCCTTCGACGGCCCCAATGAGAACCCAGAGGCTGAGCTGCCGCTCACGGCGGGGAAATACCTCTACGTCTACGGGGACATGGACGAGGACGGCTTCTATGAAGGTCTGTTCCACGCACCGCCTCCCGTGTGACAGTCCCCCTGCGGTGCCGAGCGGGGTTCCCGGGGTCCCTCCTCTGACCCCGACATGCGGTGGGTGTTACTCTACTCACCTGGTTTCCCAGGCAACCATGTGCCACACGGGGCTGAGACCCTCTGGTCCCCACAGGCTCCCTCCTCCCTCTTGAGTCACTGCCCAGCACTGGGGGCCCCCCGTTGGCATCTTCTCGGGCAGGGCCCGTTCAGGAGCCCCCTCTTCAGGCTGCAGCAGGCGCCATGGGAAGAGCAGGCTGATGGTGGGGGACGCCCAGTGGGTGGCAGTGGGGGTGTCGGCAGTGGGACCTGGGTCCAAGGCTGG